CTTGGTAGCCCAGGCTGGCCTCGAACTCACAGAGATCCACCTGCCTCTGCCTCCCGAGTGCTGGGATTAAAGGCGTGCGCCACCACCGCCCGGCATGACCCGACATATTTAAAATGGCTACCAAAATGCAAAAGGAGCACTGGCCTGGGCAATGATCACGAAGGAGCTAAGACTTAGAGACCACTCTGAAAGCTATAGACACCACACCATTCCCATGCTTACCCTCCAAGACGACTGACCTTGATTGTCAACTTGTCAAGATTTTGAATCACCTAGGGGACAACCATCTAACCACACCTGTGAGGGTGTCCAGGCAGGTTTTACTGAGGTGGCTGTGGACCTGGTGTGACCAGTGGCCTCCTGACAGACTGTATTCCTCTACACTGTGAGACAAAATGATCCTTCCTTAAGTTGCTTTCATCAGATATTTTGTCCCGGTGACAGAAAAGTCAACAACACATCCATGCTTCCTTTCTGTAGTTTGGGCAGCCTCGGGAAAAGTCTAAGCTCTAAACTGAGACAGGAGAAGGTGGAGAGCAAAATCCTTCTCAAGTTGTATGCATGGTTGTAGCTCTGACTGAGGACCACTGTGTCCCAGCTCAACAAGCTGGAATAAAAGTAACTTTGACTTTTAAGCAAGAGATAGACCCTGATGCAATGACGCACACAAAGTGACCCGCCTTGGAAGGGAACATGGACAACCTGCAGGTAGGAACAGGACAACAGCCCTCCAGGGAACGAGAGACAAGCTCAGAACTCCACACAGGCCCACTAGCTGCCTCTCTGACTCACACCAAACGGTAAGACTGGAGAGCAAAGGGCTGGAACTCAAAGTCACACGAGTTAGAACTTCTCACCGACAGTGATCTACGGCTAGCTTTACCACCTTACAGCTAAGTGTCCATGCCGTTAGCTTCCCAAAGCCAGACAATGTCTAAATCTTGACACAAACCTTTTGCTGTTTTTTTTTTTTTAATGGTAAGTGCTTCTAGTACAATCTTTATGCAGCACTTCTGTGGACCATGCACTGTGTTATAGACACTACATATTTACACACACACACACACACACACACACACACACACACACACACACACACAAACACACAACTAGGGAGTATAAGTAACCTGATAAGAATTGCTTTGCAGAAACTACCTCCTCCAAAGCAGCAGAGACAAAAACAGCCGTGACGAGCCAGGCTGGAGATAGACAGCATCTGCTGCCCTAGTTAGTGAACAGAACACAGCTTTCCACTGAACTCTGGGAGAGAAGTTTTGAGATCACAGGAACATAAAGAGACAGATGCCTTGCAGTGTGCTGGGGGAGATGAACGGGGAACATGGGATCGTGTTTAAAGGGGCCAGAGGAGGAAAGAGACCAAAGGAAAAATGAAAGTAAAGATCTGGCATCCCAGCTGCCTCAGAACCAGGCCTGCCTAAGGGGAGACTCCTGGTAAACCACACCCCAATCTACCCTCTTCACAACTCTGTCTTTGTGTTCCCCGCCTAGGTCACTGACACGATGTTACATAGAGGGCAGAAGAACGATTTCTGAAATCAGCCCCAGGGGATGGACCACAGATCAGAATATGGTGCTCAGCACCAGTTTCCAGGTCACCTGGTGGAAAGCCTGAGCTCAGGGAGTGTCCCTTCGCACCGCTGACCACACACTAAAGCCCTTCCCCTCTGCCGGGTTACTGCCCGTCTTAGCCTTAAACACGTCTTTCCTTCTAGATTTCAAGTCTGGTTCTTAGAAAGGTTATTGTCCAGCTGCAATGACTTAAACTATGGAATCTTAACCTGAGTGCACGGATGGGTAGAGGGATGTGGGGGCGTCTGTGAAATTTCATCTGAGTCTCAAAGGGACCAAAAACCTTCATGAAGTTTAGAACCACTGGACTAGGTCAACCAGGCGAAAGCAAAAGGCAAATATTTTCAAGAGATTGTCCTTCAACTAATTTTCAAGCCGCTTTCTAGTTCCCTTTTGTCCCTCAAGTGTCTCAGCTTTTGCTGATATTGTACCTTTGACTTTACGACGGCGCCTGTGTGTGCTTTTGCTGTGGTTTACAGTTGAGCGTGACCTCTGAGTCTACTCACAGTAGATGTCTGCTGGGTCTCACTCTACTGAAGATGACAGTTGTCGAATATGACAGACAGCGACTCACTAACTCCAAGACTTTTTATCTTAACTAATCTGAAGTGACTAGTTAACTGGCTAGGTTGCTTCTTGATTAAATGGTTACATTAGTGCGGTACCAGTAAAAGTACAAGTCTTTGAATAACATGCAATTGGCAAACCATGCTACAGGAACTCTGGAATCACAAGCAATGGGATGGGAGTGGATGTGAAAGTCACTGTAATTCCATGAGGCCACGATTCAGATGATTCATATACAAAGACACAGCTTTCCTCACATACTGTGCGGCACAGCGGGTTTGTAAGCGGGCGCTGTTTTCAAAAGCATGGATGGGATGAGGGCTGCATGCCTGGCAAGCATGCTCAGAGAAGCCTGCCTGAGGACCGAAGGGTCATTCCAGAGAACAGCTCTTCGGGGAAGCATGCGGAGCGCAAGGCCGTATCAAATGTGCCGATACCAGTTTCAAATGTGGCGGACGAAATGAATGGAGGAAAATAGGAGTGTGGCAAAACCAGCCTGGTGCACGCATTTGCTCACCTGGAATTACAGAGATAGTTTTCAAAGCTCGGAGAACCCTGAATGTTCTCAGCGCTGAGACATTGCCCAGGTCCACAAACTCTGTCACATATCTGTAGTAAGGGAGGTCACACAGACACAAATGACAAACACAGACACCACACAAATACCAAAGGAAAAGAGACACGACCACAACAAAACAAAAAGCACAATACGTCACATCAGGGCCCTAACCACACCTGACACCAACCCCGGCCATCTTACCTGGGATTACCGAAATAGTTTTCAAAGCCCTCAGTACCCTGAAAGTGCGCAGAGCTGAAACATTGCCTAGGTTTATAAACTCGGTTATATACCTGCAGAATCAAACCAAAGTTAACTTGTAACGGCACCACTGGGGGAGGGTTTGAGAACAGGGCAAGTGAGGGTCTTATGTATAAGTTATAGTTTTATTTTCTATCCCTGAAAAAGCAAAATTTCAAAATATAAACATTTAAGGAACACATCTTTTTTGGTTTGGGTTTTTTTTTTTTTTTTTTTTTTTTTTTAAAGACAGGGTTTCTCTGTTTCTCTTTGTACTTTTGGTGCCTGTCCTGGATCTTGCTCCGTAAACCAGGCTGGTCTCGAATTCACAGAGATCTGCCTGCCTCTGCCTTCCAAGTGCTGGGATTAAAGGCGTGCACCACCACCGCCCGGCAAGGAACACATCTTTTTAAAAAAAAAAAAAAATGGGCAAGAAGAATTGAGAAGTATATTCTAAAGAACTGACAGATTAGAACTCTCTGAGGTCTGCTCTCTCAGACCAGTGTGGGATGCACAGATTCAGTGACTTTACTATTGGCCCATTTACCTTTTTTTTTTTTTTTCCCCAGCAAGGGGAAAAGGCCATGAAGGATCAAAAACTTATGTTCCCAGTTTTGTGAACAAAACTCTGTTTCACAAGAAACAGACAACTTTTTGTAGCAGGAGCCTCACAAAAACAAATCCCCTGTTGACAATGGACAAGACGCCTGCATGGCGGGGTGGGGGACTTCTCCAGGAGCTTATGTCTACAGATGAAGGTTCATCCTGTGACAGATAAAAGTAGGGCTCAAGAAAAACATCCAGCTCATGAGATCAGGGCAGCAGGTGAGTTATGTGCCCATTTTATCACCAGCTCTGTCCGAGCTAGGACACAGGTTTGAAGTGCACACCAGTGTATATTTTATAACGCTAGAGGGTAGAGATCATCTCCATAGAACGAGAGTCATCCGTTTTCAGCTATTCCATGCACACCACTCAACCACAGGTCATAGTGGAACTCCTGATACTCGGCCCCACACACACGCAAATGTTTTCTTCCTTTCACACATCTTCATACACACAACCTATTATCCCACTCCAAGTCTCCCCTTAAACGACAATGCACTTTCTTAACACAAAAATAAAAAAATTAGAGCCTGTCTAACTCTTCTATCCTCAGCTAAGTTTCTCAAACAGAAACTTTTCATAGCTGAAACAATACCAACTGCCAGATGCAGCGAGCACACCTGTGGAGAACCACCACGTCTCTAGTGGGAGCTGGGAGCTCTGGTTAGTAACTTTTCTGAAGGTGCCAGTCTAGACACGTTGGCTCACGTTTGAGTCAAAAGCCTCAAATGCGTTTTCAGCCAAAAGTTTACATCCGAAACATTCTATGCCTTCAAAGAGGCCCTCTAAGTGATGGATGTGAGGACCTTGGTCAGTGCCATAAAGTGACATAAACTATGAGGGCAGAGCCACGAGGAGCCACTGCCTGCTGCTGGCCTCCCAGCTGTGAAGCATCCCTTCACCTTCTCCCACACAAACGTGTGTCTGAAAACTAAGAAGGGCTTGCAAGCAAGAACCACAGTCAAAACCCCATGGCCAGACACAGTTACCCAAGGACTCCCCATTCTGCAGCCAGGTATGTCACACCAGCCTGTAATCCCGGCCCTCAGAGGAGAGGCAGGAAGCCCAGGAGCTCAAGACAGCCTAGGCTGTACGGGGAATTCAGGGATGGCTTGTGCTACATGAGACTATATCTCAAAAGAGAAAAATACAAAAGAATTCTCCATTCTATGAGCCCACAAACTCACATTTACTTGTACCACCATGCAGGGCCATTCAAGACACACACACACACACACACACACACACACATACATGCACACGCGTGCACACACATGCACCCACACGCACCCACACACGCACACGCGCACACACGCACCCACACACATGCACACACACATGCACACAAACACACACACACACACACACACACACACACACGCACGCGCGTACACACACTCACACGCAGTCATATCCATAAACAGTAACATGGACAGGAACTCACGCCATCATGATGACACTGAAGTCCAGCCAGTTCCACGGGTCTCGGAGGAAGGTGAAGCCGTCTATGCAGAAACCTCTTGCAATGATTTTCACTAGTGACTCAAATGTGTAAATCCCTGTGAATGTGTACCTGTCAAAGACACGGACAGCTGGGTCAGTCCTGGCAGAAACGTCAGCGAACCTCTTTGAGGTGACACCTGCCTGGGGTGCCGTGCCACACAGACACCTCATAAAGGCCCACGGCAAAGAGAACCCTGGCTGGCACTGACTGACATGCCCACAGCACCCGACTGGTGCTCCACCCAGATCAGGATCACTCTGGAACAGGCAAGGAGACCCCAGAGCCACGTTGGCCTTGGAGGACGCAGGACGGCAAAGCCCCTGCTAGAGAGGAAGGGCAGTCCCTTCCAGAGCTGACTGGCTTCCTAGAGTTCATTTCTAAGTCTATTTGCTGAATTCTACGTTCTCTTCGGTGCCCCCGCCCACACCCCCAATACCCTGCAGTAATGATTTCTTCTTCTCCGTGGATAAATTGTGGAATAACACAACAAAAATCTTTTAACCAAACAAGCAAATAAAAAACCACTTACTCCACATTCTTGGACCATTCGGGAGGGTTACTAAAGGTCATGAATACACAGTTGGTCAGGATAGTGCACATGATGATCATGCTGAATACTGTAGGCAGGAGTTAAGGGGCCATACAAAACCCGGCCTGGCCTTTCCTTTTTCTTTTTTAAACCAGAAAACAAACCCACTTTATACTAGGTCTCATGGGATCTAAAGCAACAGGCTGTCTGTCGGGAGGCAGACACAGGAGGAGGAAAAGGCGAAGTGACAGGGGAACTGGCCACTGTTACCACAGGAGCCCTGAACATCCCGCCTGGCCGGGAGGTGAGGCTGACGCCATTCTCCTGTCTGTGGGCCATCACTGACTGCCCACCCCTTTCCAATAAACCTGCCACTCCCCACGTCATCTATGGAACAATACTCCAAATACTTAAAACTTTGTGAACAGGACCCAGAAGTGGCCAAAGACCCCAAGGCCATCAGAGAAAGTCAATCTACACTTTTCCCCCCAAGATGCATGTATTGCTAATTATCCTGATAATTAGTTACTTGAAAATCTACATGTAATTGATGATCACTTTCCTCTAATCCCAAGGGGCTGAATATCTTACAGTCCAGTCAACTGTGCATTGATGCATCCTACCTGAAAACCAGTGTGGTGCGTTGGATACAGACTTCTGAGGCACCTGAGCCCCAACAGTTCTGAGACTTGGGTAATAGTGAGAGTCAGTTTGATCATAGTGAAGGTGCCCTTGCCATTCAGGACCTTTCCTAGCCCTGTCTGTTCTTGTCTACTGAGAGAAATTAAATAGTTTAACAGCCAGCAGGAGTTTCTCCAACTGCATCAGGCCAGAGTGCATTCACCGAGAACTCACTCTCTCCTACTAATGCTATTTCTATCTTTATCTTATCAGTGGAGTTTAGAAGACAATGCTTCTTCTAGCTGGATTTTCTTTCTTCTCTACAACTGGAGTACCCTTGGGGGTGGGGAAAAATCACATCCTTTAGGGACAGGAGAGAAAGACACATTCCAGCTCTGATCCTGACAAAGTCTACTGTAAATTACCTACTTCTTATAAACCTCACAGCTTCACAGCTGTGGCACCATCTATTCCAGAACCAAGGTCCACTCGGCAGACGCTTCTGACCTGACCCACTCAGCTGCTCCTGGGCTTTCCTCGGCCTCCCTGGAGGATACAGCACTCTTCAGTGCATGTGACGAAGTGCCGTGAAATGAAGTGCCAATCGTGCACGTTTAGTCACTGGGCCAAGATGCTGAGCCCATCAGATCATCTGTCACGTGTCCTGTGTTCTAGAGTAATAGGATGTAAAGGGTGGCACTTTCCCACTTAAGGGGAAGGCGAATCCCAGAAAAGGTACCTATTTATCCACAACCTGTATCTAAACCTCTGTGCCAACGAGTTGATTTCATCTGAGAAATACCAGGTATTTTGTACTCTCCTTGCTCAAGAAAAAAAACAAAATTCTAAAGCATTCATTCAGCTATTTGTAATTCAAGATGTGGTTTTCAAAAAAAAATCCTTGTATCCGATATTAATACATTAACAAGCTGAATTAATAATGCAATGAAATTACTAAAAAGCCAAGACTTCAGTAAAAGGGTAACATCTTAATTAGCCCCTCATAATGATATTAACAAAACTCTAGACTCCAGTAATATCTTTTAAAAAAGAGTCTGCAGAAGCTGAGCTTGGGATGTGGCAGGACTTGGTTCCTAAGCCTGGCTGGGGTGGGCAGTGGCCAGCTACAATCCTGGTGAACAGTACACAAGACAGTCAGCACACTCTCAATTTGTGCAAGATCTGCACCACTCACTCCCAGTGCAGAAAAGGATATGAATGTATCAAAATTTTAATAGCTATTCTTCTTATCAGGTTAAAAGGACTTAAAATGTACAAGGCAGGCGTGGCACTAAATCTGAAGAGAGTTTTCCCTCTGTTTAATACTACAAAGGTCTGTGGAGAAAGAAAAAGAGAAATCATTAAAATTTGAGTATTAGTCACCACACAAAACATTTTTTCTAGGTAAGAAATAAACTCACTTAAAGGCACCTAGAACTTTGCTCTTGTTTGGTTTTTAAGGCAAAACAGCGTCTGTTCGCTCCCCTCCCCGGCAGCATCCAGCCCTCAGGCTGTACACAAATCTCGGCCACAGTACCAGCAGGTTCACATCTGGAGACCTCTGCACACTGTCTGCCAAGTCCAGACCGTGGATTAGAGTTCATTCGCTCAGGACTCATTTCTCAAGGAATGATGACTAAGTACCCACTCTGCGTCAGTCAGTGCTGTAGGGGTTTAAACGTTCCTGGTGAACGAGGCAGCCCTCGTCTGAGGAGTCTGTGTTCCCACCAGGAAGACAATCAGCATGAACACTCTGCTCTGCTAACCCTGACACACAGAGAAGGCAGGAATGTTAGGGCAGGGGAGGAATCGATGTGGAGGAAGTGGTCAGAGTCATCCTGTCAGGAGAAGGAGCTGGGCAAAGCAGAAGGAAGTGAGGAGGGTGAGCACTTCATTCAGGGTTTACTCACCGGTCCTCTGTCTGGCCTCTAAGAGCGTCCAACACCAGCCTTGCCCAAACCATTCACCTGTGTTTCCCAGCGTCAATCTTCCTATCAAACCAAACTACCCCATGTCCTTGGAACAGGCTGTAGCAACGTGAAACTTGGGTCTCTGCTCACCCTGTGCCAAGCATTGTGCTGAGCTGGGGGTGGGGGGGTGTACACAAAATTGAACAGAACTATACTTATCGGAGAACACATGTGAATTTACAATCACGATGGCGGGGTAAGTATGAAGTTCACCACAAAAATATGAGGGACAGCAGGACAGAGGACCCCCAGACACCCTAGACTGCCTGTGGGTAATAGAAAAGGAAAGTGAGCCAGGATGTGTTCACAAAGGAGAACAGGACCCGGAAGAGACTGATAAAGACGGGAAGGATGGACAGAGGGAACAGCGAGGCAGGTAAAGCTGCATATAACTGTATTGTCTTCAGGGTGCTGACAAGTACTTCTGTGTCCACAGAAGACAGGAGAGGGCAGAGCGGTCAGCAGCGCTGGAGACAGACGCAGAGCCTACCAAACGGGGAGTCCCTGTGGAGGTTAGGCCAGCGCAAATACAGACAGCAAGGAGCCAAATTTAAGTCACTTTTAAGTAGTTTTTTAAAATTGTTTTTATTTAGAATGATATATGCCTAGAATTTAAAAACATATGATTAAGTTCCATTCTATTACCCAATGGTAATCTTTGCTGCCGGTTTTTAAAATATCCTTCCAGAATTTTTCTTTATAAGCATTAGCATACAGATCTATCCTTAAACAGTCTTTCCCCCAAGTGAGACTGTACTATAAATACTCTTCTGCACCAAGCATTAAAAAATGAACCCCACAAAGAAAAGCCCAGGGACCAGATGGCTTCACTAATGAATTCTACCAAATGTTTAAAGAATTAGCACAAACTCTTCCAAAAAAATCAGAAGAGAGAGAATAATTCCCAACTCATTCTGTGAGGTTACTCTATACAGAATCGGGCAATGACGTCACAGGAAGAGAGAACTCTATAGACTCATAGGATTTAGTAATATGGACACAAAAGGCTTCACCAAAAATACTAGCAACCAAATCTAGCAGCCCATGGAGGCTTGAGTATCTGACCACATGAATACAGCCCAGAAGTGCAAAGACAGCTCACCGAAGAGAACCAAGCACTGGGACAGTCTGGTAACACCAGGGATGCACACGGTGACCTCAACAGAGGCAGAAATGCCCCAACAGAATCTAACATCCTCTCACGACAAAGACACTGACAAGAATTTAACACGCACCATCTGGGACCCCCAGCCAGCATCTCCCTGTCTCCTTCCCCTCCCCTTTCCTCTACTTCTCTCCTTAAAACTCAGTCTGAACCTCTTGGAGGCAGGGGCCAAGCTCAGGCTTCCCTCTGCAGTTCCGAAAGATACAGTGCTCCGTCCACACACTCCCAACACACGGGTGCTGGCATGTGACTTCTCAAGTTCTTTCTTCTTCTTATCTTCTATTTTATATTCTCTTCATCTGCCAGAGTCACCATAGCCTCTCCCACTAGATGAGCAATTCTGGCACGCAGCTCTGTCCGTTCAGAAGTGCCCACCTATCCCATCCCATGTCTGGCACATCACTACACTAACCCTCTTCCCACACCAGGACGTACAGGCTCTGCTGGGATCCCCAGAAAAAGCCCAATTCTAAAAGCAAGTGGAACCAGAAGATCTGGGGTTAGCTTAAAACAGGTCAAGGGCAGAGATCTGGTTCTTCCATTTCTTGGCCTCCCAAAGAAATAAATGGGCCACACCATTCCCTCTTCCTGAAGTCCTTGTACCCCTCTGTGTTTCTATAGCAACGCTCTCTGTGAAATGCCAGGCCTTTCAAACAGGCTCCTCATTCAGCTTCATAACATCCCCATAAAGTATGGGTAAAGCAGGAATTCTCCGCCTGTGTGCAGCTTACAAAAGCTCAGGAGAAGGACACCACCCATAAAGGCCACGTGGCAAGGAGCAGTGTATTATGCCAGGCCCAGGGCCTCTTCACAGTTTCTGCTGTGCAGGACCGGGTGGTAATTCCATGACTACAAGGCAGAATGAGGTTGACATGGGGGATGGATTCACTGGTAAATGAGAAAATTGAGCTCCTGGTATACCATATAAAGTAGCTAAGAATAATGGGGGGGGGGGGGACCCACTGGTCCATGCACCAGGACCTAAAGCTCACCTTTTCTTTTCCTTTTCTGTTTTTTTTTTCTTTCCTAAAGCCTTTACTAAATTGCCCACCCACCTTAAGTGACAAGTAATAAAGACTTTAAAAAGAAAAGAAAAAACCAAAAACCTTTCTCTCTTTACTCCTTATTGTCTGTCTCCTGGGTTGGTCACATGGGAGGTGTTTCCTATTGTATACAGAAAGTACTCAATAAATGCTGTCTGTGTGTCAATGAACAGTCTGTTATCTGAGGCGAGAGAAGAGGGAAAAAAAGACATGGAGAAGATGGAGTCCTTACATGTTAGTTGAAAAACTAGCCAGGGTTCTAGCGATGAACCAGAAAACTGAGGGTTACCCCCACCATGTATGAAGTCTTTTCTCTACTTGGAAAATAAGAGTCATCTTGGGTACACCCAACTCCTGAAACAGATGCACATCCTCTACACTTTCATTGGCGAGTTGTTCTATAATTTGCTCTATCATTAAAATAATTAGATTTACTGATAATTTGCACAGAGTGTTTCTTAAACACGCCTTCTGGATAAAGCAGGAGGGCGTCCGAACCAACGCAGCTAAAGCTCAGGAATTTCCCAGTGAACACTGGTGCTGCAGACTCCTCTGTGTATGCATGGGTGGGAAGCACTGTGGGCTGCGGCCTCTCAACAGCTGCCTGGCCCTGAGGTGCACAGAAACCGCGGGTAACAAGCAAACAAACAGGAGAGGCCATCTCCTGCAGAGCCTGTGGACACACGGACCTCGTACAGGTTTCACACAGCCAACTATTTGGGAATAGACAAGCCGTACTTAGCCAGGGGGCCACACAAGCCAGATGGCAGCCCTGATCTGGCCAATGAAGACCAGACTGGCTGCACTGGAATTATCTGAGAACTTTTTTTAAAACAGAGCTTGCTAACTCTCCCCTCCAGAGGTGGTTGAATGAGTCTTCACAAGAGTCCAGAGAACCTGTCCGGCCAGGGAGCAAGCAGATCTTGTCTCAGCTCACGTCCTGCAACATCTGGGGCCGTCTTCCGCTTCCCTCCCTAGCTGTGTGGTCAGATGAGCCACGGCTTCTCCCAGGATTCACTTTCCACATTTAGAAAGTGGACAAGAAGCCTGTTGGTTGGACGTGGCCAGTCCTTTCTAGCCTTGTTATCGATGATGCTGCAGTTTAGACATTTCACAAGACATCCATGATGAAGTGCAAAAAGCGGCAAGCCACACTTCCGAGGAGGAAACCCACTACACCTATTCCCCGACACGGCCTCTGGCAGAACTCTGGGGAGGTATTTCACCCTCTCACAGTTAGTCTCTCCAGACCAGGGATGAGTGGCAGGGGCAGCCTCTGGTGGCAGAGCGCGACACACCGGCCTGCACTGTGCTACCTACTTTTACACTCTGCTCTTCAGAGTGCAGCGGGTATTGGAGGGGTGCGGAACGGCACCGTGGTTTGGGTGGGAGACACTCCTTGCTGACTGAAGGCCTGGTCCCCGGTGCCAGCGGTGATCAGAGGTGTGGCTTTTAGGACGAGACTGGATCGTGAGGGCTCTGACCCAGTGCCTGGGTGAATCGAATCCACTGTTACAGCTATAACCCCACAGCCCTGCTGGGGGGTGGTGGAACTGGGAAGCAGGGCAGAGCTGGAGTGGACCGATGAGAGGGGACGCCCTGGACGGGTCTAACTGCTCCTGGCCCCATCCCGCCGCTCCTCGGTGCTGTGAGGTGAGCAGCTTTCCTCCCTGCCCCCTCCCTCAGGACGCTGTTTCACCGTAGGCTTGGAAACTGGAGACAGCTGACCGTGGATTAGACCCACCGAAAGCGTCATTCTGACTCTTCAATTGATATTCTCAAGTATTTACCACAGTGACGGGACGATGAGGAACATAAACAGGCATGACTCAAAATTCACTGACAAAAATTACATAGTTGAATTGTTTTTTGTTTTTGTTTTTTGAGACAGGGTCTCACTATGTAGCCCTGGCTGTCCTGGATCTCACTCTGTAGACCAGGGTGGTCTCGAACTCACAGAGATCCACCTGCCTCTGCCTCCCGAGTGCTGGGATTAAAAGCGTGGGCCACTGCACCCGGCCCCATAGTTGAACATGTAAAGCATCTACGTGGCTCTTGAACCTCTATCATCACTGCCAAATGGTAAGATCCAGAAAAGATGATGCATCCCTAGTTCAACAGGGCTCCAGCACCAGACCCTTCACAACCCGGCGGGGG